GTTGTTTTTTCTGTTCGAACAAATATATTATTAATAAATATTAGATCGATATTAATATTCAAACTAAAATAGTTTTTATTGATTAATAATGAAGAAATCAATAAATGAGAATATTCTTTTTAACAATATAATATTATCAATTATCAATTATATATATATTTGAATAAATCTAAACAATAGATAATATATATACCTATAATAAGACACTCATTGACAAATATATTCAACGAGATTTATTTTCAATATTAATATATTGTCATCGAACAGAAATATTAAATGAAATAGTTATATTATTATTGAGAATATCATTTTGAAGAAGAATTTTTTTCATAAAACAATATTATATTGAAATATTTTAACAAGAATATTATTTATCAATAAATCAATATAGAATTTAGAGATTTTATAGAGAAATAATATTGATATTGATTCATAAGACGGTTAGCTAATTAAATAATGTTTACATAGACAAATGATTAGACAAAACAAAAAAAAAACGAAGTAAATATTCTCTCTTACAAAATCTTAATCTATCTCATTCGATAAACATTGAAAAGACCTGAATAAAAATATTATCTTCGAGAAATTTGTTTTATCTATTATATTGAATAATTCAAAGTGAATATCATCATAGAAATAATTCCAAGTAGAATTTATATTTTTTTTGGTTTTTTTCGAAAAATAAATTTTCGAAAATTCTTATTAATATTCATCTTTAACAATTTAACTTGAGAAAAAAGAGCTGCTCGAATTCTATAAGAACTATTTATAAATAAAACTATGATTATTAAGAATAAAATTCACAAAATGATTTATCAGTGAATATAGACTTTGGAAACATTTTTTTTTTCTTGTGAAATGATAATTAACTTTTTCAAAACTATTTCAAAAACAAAAAAAACAAAAATCTAGGTAATTTACTATTATAAATAAAGTTAATATAAATTAGTAATGACTAAATATTATCTGGTGATAAATTCTTTGAAATAAATTTAAAAGTAAAAATTCTTTGTTTTTTCTATAAATAAAATAAATCAATTATTTATCTTAGTATCGATGATCGACATTGTTTTTCCAAAGTCAATCAGAACTTAAATAAGATCAATCAAGAAAATAATTCTAAATCGATATTTTACTTTTACTTTTATTTTATCTTAGAGAAAATATCATTTATAACACTCTTTTTCCGATCACTTTTTAAAACGAGTATATATCTCTTTTCTTTTTTTTTCTTATCATGATGGTAATGGTGATGGTGGTCTATATTTATCAATAATAATAAGATACATTATTCTAGAATAAAAACGTTTTCTTTTTTTTCTTGTGTGAAAAAAGTTGTTTTCTGTATTGTAGTTAATGATAATAATTTTAGTTTAGTTGTAAATTGCCCTCCAGGGTTGATTATTGTTCTGGCGTTAAATCTTGATAATAATTAGTAACTTTATATATATAATATATTGCGAGTAATTTTCTGTGTTTTTTTTTCTTTCAACGAATCTTTGGTATGTCTATGTTAAAAATATTTTTCTTTGTGTAAAAAAGCAGAAAAATAAAAAGAAAAGACAGAAAGGAAGGAAGAGGAAAAGAAAATGAGTAAATAACGTTTTGCTAATCGATCGGAAATGGTATTAGTAGTAAAAGCATGATTCTCGTTGAGATTTATTCGTTAAATATTAGTGAAAAGCACTTGGACATAAAGAGAAAAGTCAAATAGTATCGTTTTTCTCTTTCGCTTTCGCTTTTATTATTTTTCTAATGAATTCTTCTATGAATCGTTTCAATAAAATCGAAGGATTTTATCAATACTACATCAATTGTTTATTATATAGAGTAATTATTTCTATCATAATCATGTTCAATACGATATGAATAAGCAAGAATATAATATAAAGTAGTTGACTATTTTCAAATATATATATTTGAAAGTTCTGTATAATAGTAAATATATTGTTTGTTTTTATCTTGTTGGTTCTTAGTTGTATGAATGTCATTATTAATAAATAAAGTTGATTTAATCGATATAGCATGACGAAATAATAGATGATATGATAGATGCTCGAATTCTGCCTATGACCCTTTTTCTTAATCTGTCGAGCTCAATTATTTTCTTTCCTCGTTTCCTCTAAAACCCCTTGAGCATTTATTGATAAAAAAAAAAAACTCATCGTACTTTTCGTTTTTTTTTCTTTTGTCATATTTTAAAACATACTCTTAGAATATTAATTTTATATTGAAATGTTAATATTCAATTCTTATAGATAATATTAAAATTTGACAATTCTTACAACTATTAGATTTAAAGAGAATATTATTTGTTTTAAGTATCCTAATTATAGATACATTAGATTTTTATTGTTTTGATAATAACTCCAACGGAATCGGATACAGCTGTTCGCCTATAGTTTATTCTATTTGTATAATGTCGAATTTCTAAAAGGTTTTTTCTTTTCATTTTGATGAAAATAATGTAAGATAAATGAATTTGTCTAGTTATGATATTAAATATAATCATATAGTTTTTTATTATTATTCTAGATAAATAATAAATATTTATTAATTATAAATAGAATATAAATTTTGAAATAAAAATTTCAAATAACAAAATAATGTTTTATTTGTAACAATGAGAATATTTCAAATGAGATAAAATGAATAAAATTTAGTCGAAATAAATTGAATGAAAATCGAATAAAACAATTTAGTGAAATATTGTGTTTCGCATGTTAGAGAATAAAATTAACTTGTTTGTCAAGTATCATTAAAACTGTTGAAGATCTAAATAAGTATTATTTTAAATGTTAAATATTTGCTCGATAAAGAAAAATTTTAACTGATTATTTATTTGGTTTATTATTTTAAGATAAATATAAATATTCCATTTTACTTTAATATTAAATATAATTGAAAATAATTTTATTTTTAGATTGAAAAATTTTAATAAATTAATTTAAAAATATTTCTCTAGATTTCTTATCTATTCATATTGTCAATATTATCTTCAATTATATATGAAGAATTCTATTTATTTAAATTAATTAATAACTAATTATGAGAATATTAATCGAATAGAAGACAAAAATGAATATATATATATATATGATATTCATTTAATTAACATGTCGATAAATATCTTTATTTATTCATTATTCGTGAGTAAATATTTATAGTTAACTTGAGTTCAATTCTTTCAGTTGCATATATACAGGTTTTCTTTTTCTTTTATTATTTTATTGATAATTGCTATCGTTGATTTCTTCTGATATGTTTTTATTAGAAAACAAATATAAAATATTAAGAAAAAAAAAACTTTGAATATATTTCGAAGAAATAAAAATAATATTATTTTATTTTATTAGGTTACTATTCTATATATGTTTTATCAATAGATATTAACAAGTTAACTGAAATATTTCTATAGAATGATTTATTTTTATTTTTATTTACAAAAAAAAAGATTTTAATGAATATACTTTTTATTTATTCGAATTTAAAAATGTTGATTCGGATAAATTTATATTAATTCTTTATATTATCTTTAAAAATTCAATAACAAAACAATGAATTTATTTTTAATAATAGAATAATATTCAATATAAAATAACATGAATATATATATATATATATAATATCTTAATGAAAATCTATTGAGAATAATTAAAGAATATTTAATTTATTTATTAAATAAGAAACATATTGTTATCTATTGTAAAAGAATGTATCGATATATAGATGTTGACTCATATATATATGTAGTATATCAATGGTATGTTAATAGAAGTAAAATAGCTCTAATAGATAATAGAGTACATCTGCTCTCGTTATTCTTAGTCTTTTCAATATAGTTACTTATATGTAAGTGCCATTAGTCGATGTTGCCTTTTTAAAAATTAGTCATAGTATATGACTGATGTCATTTTTAATGAATATCGTTTTATGTTACAACATATAAAGTAACAAAAAAGAAACGAATAAATCATTGAACCATTCGACTAGATTATTATAAAAATATACTTGAGAAAAACGAGTCATTTAGAAAAAGAGAATCACAATTATATATGTAGCGTCTTTTTCTTTTTATTAAATAGACAAAAAACAAAAAAAAAAGAAAAAAAAAGTCATATAATCTATTATTATATTGATGTTTCTTTGAAGAAACGATCAATTAACTAAATATGAGAGTTGAGCATCCTCTTAACGAAAACACTAATACTCTGTTTGAATCGGATGTTATCTAAAACGCATTCAGAATAATTAATTCGATGAATAAGAGAAAGAAAGAAAAAAAAAGCTTTTCAGAACAAAAGATAAAACAAAAAGAAAAAGAAAAAGAAAAAGGCTATATTATACTAGTAAATTTTTGTCTTCATATAGAATGATGTTAACAGGGAATATATTATAATAAGAGCATAAACTTTTATTTATTGTCAATTATTTACTCATACCTATAAGAAAGTATTCTTTTCATTAAATGAATATATATTAGTTATCAATGGTATGTTTTTTTTATTTTTTATTTTTCATTAATTAAATATATTATTATATTCAATTAATATTTATCATTTATTTTTTTTTATTTTATAATTTATTTATTTAATAAATAGATTTTTATTATAATAAAACAAGTTTCTTGATTTCGAATATATTTATTCTTAAACATATTTTTTTTCTATTGATTCTCACATTATATACCAAAGAATATGAGAAAAAAAACAATTTTCTTTTTTGTTATCTTACATTCGATTTTCTTCTATAATTAGATAGACAAATTTCATATTATTAACATATATAGAATAGGAAGCTTTTTTTTTTGTTTTTTATTAGTTTATTAAAATCTCGATGAACTAAATAAAATAAGATTATTTTATTTCTCGATTGAAATTCAATAAGATAAAAGAAAAAGCTGGAAAATATATTCATTAGTATTGACGATATAAATGATAATAAATAATAAAAGAAAAGAAAAAGAAAAGAAATTATTTTATGATTAAAGATATAATGTAATGTCGTCAATAACAACAAATGAAGTATTTGATTGGATTTGTATTATAATGATAATATTTGGTACTATTGGAAATAGTCTTGGTTTAATTGTATTTTCATCACGAAAATTTCGTCAAACAACTTATGGTCGTTTAGCAATAACATCATTAATTATAAATCTCTTATGTGTATATCGTTATTCACTTCTTCTTCATTCAAATACACGACGTTGGATAGCATATAAAGTTGCTCAATCATGGTTTAATTGTAAATTATATAGATTTTCATCTTGTTTAAGAATATTATCAGCATTTGTAACTGTTGCATGGACTTATGAAAGATTTACTTATGTAACAACAAATATTCGTTTTTTAAAAAGAACTAAATATTTTAGTAAATATAAATATTATTTAATGACATTATTATCTTTAATTATTGTTGCTGCTCTTACTGGACCAAGTGTTTATTTTCATGAATTAATATCAATTCATTCAAATAATCATCCATTGATAAATCAATTTAATCAAACATCAATATCAACTATAAGGTATATAGGAGACTTTTTATCTTATTAGATTAGACAAGTTTAATATAAATAACACATAAGACAATTTTATTTTTATAAATTTAAATTAAAATAAAAACAAAAACAAAAAACATTTTTTGTTTTTGTAAGAGAAAAATCATTGATGAGCCATTTAATTTTATAGTTATTTTAAATAAAGAATAAAAATCTAAAATGTTCAATTATTATTCTTTTAACTCGAGTTCAAGTTAAATATAAAATTAATTCTATTATATAAAAACAAGAGAAAATAAGAAAAAAAGCATATTTATAATTGTAAAATTAGTCACTTAATAATTCTTGTTAATAATTATCTTTAATTATAAATCTAAATATATTTTTTAATAAATAATTAATTAATGTGACTATTGTTTATTATCATTATTTAAATGTTGTTTGTTTATTGTCTAAATATCGTATTCTATTATAAACAAGATTCTCTTTCGAAGTCAAACTTTGGCTTTTTTACATTTTTCTAAAACAAGACTTTTCTTTTGTTTATTTTTTATTCTTCTCTCTCTCTTTCAAACATTTCTCCACTGTTAAAAGCTCGACAAAAAAAAATTTTGCTTTTTGTTTTGGTTGAAAAGTATATTGTCATCTACTATTTAATAAGAAATTGGAATTTTTATTTTCGATTTAGTTTTGAAAGAAACAAGATAGAGAAAAGAATATATTTTTCTATTCTTCGAATTATTCTGAGAAAATATTTTTATCATTATTAAAGAGAGACTATTTTCAAATATTCAATTCTATTAACTTATTCTCTCACAATTGTTAACTAATATTTATAAATAAAACCGAAAATGTTAATGATTAGATTTCAAATCGAAAGATTATTTAGACGAATATATATAGTTTTTCATTGTTTATTTTATCATATTATATTAAATAGATCAACATAGCTATTATTAATATAAATTAAATATATAGTTAGACAAATATAGATTTATATAGATATAAATATAATTATCGTTTATAATCAAGAAAATAAAAGTTTTATTTCAAATTGAATATTAACCTTATAGAATAAATCGAATTATAATCAATATTGAAGTTAAGTAATTATTTCTCTTAATAATATATATATATATTTACAATCTTTCTCTAAACATATTTTATCAATGAAAGATAAACAAATCTTAATAAGGAATTATCAATAAAATGTTGAAATTTTTTAAAATTATTGTTTGAATATATTTAAATAAAAGATTTCGAAATCGATTAATTAAACAAACAAACATTTTAGATTCTTATTCAAGTTAATTTAAATAAACGAATATACCAAAAACAAATACATTTATCATAAGGGATTTCTATAGAGACACGACACCTCACTTTTATAGTTAAAATAAATTATTCTAATTGGAATACAACAAAAAAAATGGCAAGTCTAATTTGTATAGATTATCAAATAGGACGTCATTAGAAGAACGAAAAGAAGAAGAATCTCGTCGATATGAATATGTGAGATATAATGAAATAAATAATGGTAAAAATCAAATGGTTTGTAGTTTAAACGAATCAATTGGTATATTATGGCTTGAATTTTTAACTGATGTTAGATTTGGTTTAAATTATACAACATTTCGTTCAATTTTTTCTGAAATAATTCCATCATTATTTGTTATTTTATTAAATATTGGAATAATAATAAGTGTTATTAAAGCAACATTATCATTTTCAAAAAGAAAAAATAATTCTTCAATTATTACTCGTCAAAATCTTAATAATTCATTTAAAAAAAGTGAAACAAATGATGGTTTAATTGTACATAATCGACCAGGTACATCATGGATGAATATTGTTTTAATAATTCATTCATGTCTTTTCTTTTTTTCATCATTAACATCAACTATTGTACATTGGTCAACATCAAATCCATTATTATCACATTGGACAAGTGTTGTTATTTTAGCTAATTGTTCATTAAATTTTTATGTTTATTGTTTAAGTGGAAAATCATTTAGAAATGAAATTAAAAAATTATTATATGATTATTATCAATTATATTGTTTTATTAAATTTATGAATTTATTTAGAAATAAATCTCAACGTGAACATGTTCAACAAACAATTCGAATGCGTATTTTAACACATAGAAATAATAATTTATCATTACAAAAAAATATTCATTTACCAACATCTTCATTTATACAACGATAATTATTAACATTTTAGTCATTTTTTATTTTACTTTTCTTTTCTTTTTTTCTTTTATCTATTTTATTTTAATTATAAATATCTGTCAATCTATTCAAATATTTTATTTTAGTTAATAACAACAAACAAACAAACTAAAAATATTCTTTAAGATTCGTCTTAAAAATTGTATAAAACTTCTTAGTGATTCTAATCTCATCTCCTTCGTCGTTAATAATAACAGATAAGTTAAATACGAACAAATATGAAAAACAATAACAAAAAAGAAAGAAATTAATTTTATAATTGAAGAATATTGTTAAATAATAGATAAATATGAAATAAATGAATATCTATTCAATGATTATATATTTGGAAAGTAGCAGAGATGGTTTATCTATAAATCGACTCTATTTGATTAAAATGACTTTTCATATTGATTTCACTTTAAAATTCTTATTTCTTTTTTTAATAAAATATTATTATCGATTCACACGGATTATTTTCTTCAACGCATCGTTGTGTATTCAATAAGATAGTCAATCATCCTGATTACAACAAATTTATATTTAAAATAGTATCATACACTACCTATGATCACTCTCCGACTTCAGTGCATACCATTTCAAAAGTTCAAATAAAGAATGATAGATGAAGACAAAGACGAAGTAATTGTCTGATTGAATGATACTTTTCCAATGAATTTTATAACGATTATCTTTCTCTTTCAAAGTGAACAAAGCAGGTCGATAACATCAAAAAAGATGATAATTAGACAATTTTTCATCAGTTATTTCGATTAGAAACTCTTCGTTATTAAAATCATTAGCTCAGATTTATATGAGGATGTGCAATGGAACTATCATTATGAAAATTATATTAACAATTTCACTATACACCTTTCGTTTTTATTTTTATTGTCTCTCTCTCTCACAGGTCGACAAGCGCGGGCTGGTTCCAGCAGGAAAACACATGAAATCGCGGGAACATGGAAGCAGTATTCCGGCCGGAAATTTTTCGGATTTTTTCCGGTGAATTTCGACCAACTTCCTATGCTTTCCAGCAGGAACCGATTGAAAAAAATCCCAAAAAATTTCCGGCCGGAATACTGCTTCCATGTTCCCGCGAGTTCCCGTGTTTTCCTGCAGGATACGATGAGTTCTTCCTTATTTTCCTACTGGTTCCTGCGGCATCCGTTCAGCAGAATCATTGACCTAGTCTGTTTGTTTTCCTCTGAAACATTTCTCTTCTATCCAATCTAACAGGAATATTGATCAAGTATTCGATCTATTTCTTTTATCTTAGTTGTCGGTGTTTATAAATAACAGTTATATAATAAACTGTCGACAGATATTAAAATGAATTCGTAGGTGGATTTTTTGATCAGCATAACCTCTTTCTCATTTCGATATCCATGGAAATAAATTCGTTTTCTTCATCTTGATAAAAAAAA